CATAGAAACTCACTAATATAGTATAATACATACATACATTTGTTTAAGCAAAATTATAATGTTTACTATGAAGGTCGTGGAATTGTATGATGGTTTTATTACCCTAAAATAGAAGAATTACAATCTAGATGATCATGTTTTAAAAACTTCTTTATGTACAATAATAAAATTAAAAAAAAAACCGGAACGTGGCGTATAAATAATTACTTTATGTAATTGCCATTATAATTCAAATAACGTCAAGGCCTTCTACCTTGCTTGAGTTTTAATGGTTGTTTGTTTTATAAAATAATTAAGTGATATTCTGCCATTTTTGTAAGTACCAATTGCGTATTGTAGAGTAGGTGGGCGATAAGCAACCTTTCATCGTGAATTAATGGTAATAATGATGATGATGATGATTATGATTCTGCACCACTTGTGGATGTTTCTGATGAATCCCTATACACATTGGTCAATTGTCGAATTTGAATTGGCTTAACGCTTTTTACGTTGAAAAACCGCATAACTGCGCAAACTTCACAACTGAAAATAATGAGCGCGAGCTTTATTACCAACGACGCAGTATCCCAGCAGTTTAAAGCGTTAACTTGCTTTAGAGTAGAGTAAGCACAAACACAGTATTGCGGTCAATAGTCGCGCGAAAACATTTCTGGAGTCTCAGTTCTTTGGAGACTTTGCATTTGTAACATTCCATGAATACGTAAATTAATGGTTTGGTAAAAGGACTGTACACTGTCACCGCTACTTTTTAATCTATAGGTACATCGAAGACGTCATCAACATCATTAAAGACAGTACAACTGTAGGGATAGATATGCAAGGGCAAAAGATTAGTATGCTTAGATTTGCAGATGATCTAGCAGTATTAGCATCTAGCAAGGAGGACCTAGGGATAGCTTTAAATAAAATGGAAGCTGTATTGACAGATCAGTATTGTATGTAAATAAGTAAAAGTAAAAGTAGAGAAAGAGCGAATATAAAGATAGGAGACGAAAAATTAGAAGAAGTGGCTGATTTTATATACCTAGGAAGTCAGATAAGTGAGGATGGAAGGAGTAGTACGGATATAAAGCAGAGGATAGCGCAGGTTCGTGTCGCCTTTAATAAAAAGAAGTCACTTCTATGCAAAATCGAAAAAGGTTGTTAAAGGTGTATGTTTGGAGCACGGCATTGTACGGATGCGAAACATGGACAGTTGGCGCGGCGGAAAAGAAAAGGTTAGAAGTGTTCGAAATGTGGTGTTATAGGTTGATGATGAGGATAACGTAGGTAGAAAAGGTTAGAAATAAAGAGGTATTAGAAAGAATAGGTGAACGGAGGACTCTATGGAAGTCAATAAAAAATAGGCGAGATAGGTTGGCAGGACACCTTCTTAGGCATGAAGGTCTAGTCAGAGACATATTAGAGGCAGAAACAGCAGTTAGGAGGGGTAGAGGTGTTCGCAAATAGTTAAGGATGTGGGCTGTTCTAGTTTTAGGGAAATGCGAAGTGTAGCGAACCATAGGGTTAAAATAGTCCGTTCCAACATTGGAGTGAAAAATTGTTGTAATTATATACGTATTCTGCCGTGATTGTTTTTATTTAATAAATATTCAAAGTTGTAAAAACTCGTAAAAACAAAATTGCTCATATAATTGAGGCAATTGCACTATTGTTATAATTTAAGGGAAAATCGTTTCATAACATCACAGTAGAAAACTGCACTTTTAGTTTGTTTTTCAGTTTTTTGCCATCAATTAGTGTGTACTGTTTGGGATATTGTTATTATGAGAAAAAAAAGTGTACAATTGTTTGCCTTATGCAACAAAAGACATGCTTTTTGCATCACCCGTTTCCTTCTCACAAAACCTCAATAGGTACAATCGGAATAAATTTTAGTAGTGGGTATACACATATGTGTATAATGATAAACCTTTCATGTCAACGATTACCGTGAGCAAAATCTATCGTAGAAAACGAAGGTGCATGACCTACTCATTGCATAACACAAAAAGTTACTATAGTTAAATATCACGTTGATTTTTAATTAAGTAGAATACATAGGAAGTTTCAAATAATGATGACATTTTTTTATTGTTTTCTATGTACCTGTAGTAGAAACTCACTAGAGTTATAGTAATTACACATACAAGTAGCAGATTATAAGAGAGATATCAATTAATTCATTATAATTAAAGGTTTCATTGTAACTACTTGAACTTTGAAATACCAACAAGTAACTATCTTGTTATAATAGATCAGTTTCAATGTGGTTAATAAAAAATATTTTATTTGGTAGGTTTCATTGCATCAACCTTTTAATTTCGACAGAGTGTATTATTTACACTTCTTTCAGCTAGGCAGTATTTGTTTTATGGTTTAAGCAAATATTGTGCAACATCCTGAATGATTTCAGGCATTTTTTTTCTTTAAAAAAAATACTCAAGTATGATAATGAAAATAGATATGAGAGAGACTATGATTGCTTAATAAATAATATTATGTTCTTGGATATTAGTTTACTGAAACTACCATCAGATGTGAATAGCGATTTCGGATTCCTTAGGCCCCAGCAGCACGCCGTAAGCTGTTTCAATAAATCCAGATAAAAGCCTGGTACTTTAACAATTTACTGATCTAGAACATGTGCTCTTTATTGATTCAGTGACTATTTAATTAGATCGTTTGTAAGTTTAATTAATGTAACTGTATACTGTGTTTACCATGTAAGTTTTCCTTATGGTTTTTCCGTTTACTAGAACTGTAACACTTTAATTAAATGCCTTCTTAATTGGTGTAAACCAGTTTCTTTGATGATACTATTGCAATTGAAATAACAAAAAAATAAATTTTTAATATTCTTGTTACTGTCGAACACAAGTTACAATATTTTTGACCTTACTTTCTAGGCCATGCATCGTCTGGTTTTATTATTTCCTGTAGAATAAAGTAAATTCTACTGTTTTACTGTATTTTCCTACATAACTATCAAGATATTTTACGAAGAACCATGTACCCAGCTAAAATGTTTCAAAAAAAAGGATTTACGATGTACATTTCTTCTGTAATTCGTTATTTAAAATTTAAAGCTAATAACATACCTTGCTCACACAGATTTAATTTCTTGTGTTTTTTAGATTGTTATTGTAGTACTTACAACAAGGAAACAAATTAATGAAAATCAAATCAACAAAGGGTGTAACATGTTGATTGATTATGAATGTCTACCAGTACATTCTTTACCGGTTTGATTTTCTTTAATTATAATTTTTGAAGATATTGAAGTTATAAGGAAACAAAGTTAAAAGAATGCAATTAAAGAAGTTAATACGTCACGTAATTATGGTTGACTGAAACCTGTTTTAGTGAAAAGTAATTAATGCTTAGGTACCTATAAATGTTATTATGACCTTAACGCAATTTTTTCAGCAAATTTTATCACATCTTCAATAGCTTTCAGAACTATTGAAGACAATTCATAGAAACTGATTGATACATAAAGAGAAAACTGTGGAAGGAATTATTCTATTTTATTAAGCAACTATTTGAATTGCCTCTCATTTTATTATGTAATCTATTAAATCAAGAAAGAGAGCAATGAAAATCTTCAACAGTGTTCAAGAATTACTAAAATGCATATTTATTTGACAGGTCCTTCTAATTTCCGTCTTCAATAAGTTATTTTTAATTAGTTGAAGCTAGTGATTAGAAAAGCCACACATTTAGTGGTAAATAATTTTGTATCATTCTACGAATTGACATAAATATTTATATGAAGTTTGATATCAATCTAATAAGTCTATTAAAAAGCAATTTACAAAACATGATTCATAGGTATTAACGTTTTTTTTGGTGATAGTAAAAAATAGCCGAAATTACCCCAGTAAAGTCGTATGGTATTTTCCATTGTGAAATTTTAGAGTAACAGTGTCAAAGAAGTTGTATGTAATAAGGAAACGCGCTGATTGTTTAATCTAATAACGATAACGCTGTTTGTCTACTTAAATATTAGTAAAAATAATGAGTTTACTTCTTTAAAATTATGAAAGTAAACGAATTATTAGATTAGTTTCTGTTTATCTTTTGGTCTAGCCCGATTTTATTAATATGCGAATATATGAGTGTCTCTTTTACTATTTTCTTTTCCATTTAACTCGTAGATATAATTAGAACTTTTTGAATTAGTTCTAATTATAATATTGACTAGTAACGACCTTCCATCAATAAAAAATAAGAAGCGAAATTATCAAAATGACTGTAACTCATTCATGCGAAATGTTCTAAATACATAAATATTTGTAAATATAGAAAAGGTTTACAAAGTTATTATATTAGTCTTTCGTGAGCCGTAATAAAATTTTATAATTCAGGAAAGTAACAGCGCACCATTTTGATAGTCCCAGAAAACGATGTTTGTAGATGCACCAGAATTTAAAGACGAAAGGGGCATTGCTCCATGTCTGAGGACTACTAAGCAGGATTCCGTGGTATCCGAATATAAAAAGGAAAAAAGTCCTGACAAAGAAGGTAGTGGGAATCACCGTAAAAAATAATCTTATTCGCTGCTTTGTTTTTGTTATCAAAATCAAGCTTTTGGGTATTTTAAAATTTNTGAATTTGCCATAGCAATAGTAGAATTTATTATGTAATTTGTAATAATTTCAATTTTGACGTTTCTTAATTATTACAATTAAATTTGTAATATCAACTAAAATACCTAGTAAATTTATTTCTGTTGGGATTTTATTTTTACATATTCGGATCCAAATTGTAATTTTTATTATTTTTCCTTACGACTAGTGGAATAAATTGTAAATATCGCTTTAATATTTAAGTAAATTTTCCTTTTTCATTTTTTCCGTGCATGAATTTATTAAATTCGAGTTTGCGTTCAATGTTTTTGTAAATATTACTTACATTGAAGATGTCGTTTATAAGCTGTCCATTATACCGTTTTTCTACGTAAAAACTAGAGTTAATATCGGCTGCTGCAGGTTTTTCTACCACCGAGGTTGAGACCACGCTCGGATTAACGCTAACAGCCCCGACTCTATAATTATAAAAAACAATCAACACCAATTATTATTATCAAAGTTATTATTGACCTTAAAATCAAATTAAAAAGAAAATTAACGTTAAGTAAGTCTAAAAGAAGAAAAGAAATAAAAGTAAAACAGTATTATAGTTTTGTTGTAGGCACTTATTAATTAATTAAGCATTACTTTGGATTATATAAATAAATATAAATTAGTTTGCTGTAACCAGAAAAAAAAAAATTAATAGTTTTATGAGTATTTCACTTCTCCAAGTCATTTTCTCCGATACCATCACAGGTCATATTCCAATTAGCAGAAGAAGATTAATTTGAAAACTGGAAGAACATAAACAATAGGAAATATATTTACAAAAGGTTCGAAACGTAGTTTAAAGTAGAAAGAAAGAAACTGTTGATTTAAGGCCAAAACCATAAGTTCTACCAAGACGGAAGTATTAAAGGAGTCCAGAGGTTCTACCTTCCTCTATTCGACCTGGACGTACCCATATTTACGCCAGTGTTTTCTTAATGCGGGTCTGTGTACTGTTTTAATTTTTTGTACATGTACTTGGGGCGGTGCAGGTGCTTCTGGAACTGGCACTTCTTTTTCGATAATTGTGGGCGGAGCGGGAACTTTAACTCTCTGTTCAATAACTGTTGGAACTCTTACGATTCTTTCTTCGTAAGATGGTACTTGGATGGTTTTTTCGACGTAATTAGGGATAACGGTTCTTTCAATATAAGTTTTCTGAGGTGCTGGAACTTTCTTTTCAACCACCTGTTCAACGTGATGAACTGCAGGTGCTGGAGCCGCGTTTACGGATTTTGATATATATAATCCACCGGAGAATCCAGCACTTGCTTTCGCTGGAGCTGGTGCAGGTGCTGAAACCGGCGTTTCTATGACCTTTTCCTTGATGACTTCTACTTCTTTGTTAACTATTTTGTAGGAAGTTTTTGATTATCGATAAATGCACAATGTAATTACAAATATATGTACGTAACATGAAATGCTAAGTACGAAAGAGAAAAATTATTATGAGCTATACATTTCATATGCAATTGAAAATTTTTCAGTTTTTATAATATCAAGTAAAACATTTCTTTTAACACAAGCAACAGTAAAATTTTAAAGTATAATTACTTGTTCCTCCGTATTTTTCACTTGTGTATGTTTTCCCCCCTGCTGACGCACCACTATAAAGGGCTCCGGCTGATCCTCCTGAAATATATGTATGTATGTCATGCATTATCCTTACGTTAAGTGAACACCGCGTTAATTATACCTTCTCCTGAAACTCCATGTAAACCTGCCCCTGCGGATACACCACCTCCTGCAGTTGCTCCTGCATACAATCCTCCTGCAGCCCTTCCCTCACCTACAAAGAGGACATTTTCAAATGTATTTCATGATTTTATCGATTGTTTTATTTTATTTCTAATCTCAGACTTGCATTGTGGAATTGGGGATGAATATTGGTCTACATATTTTGGTATCGATCGCTGCGAAATTATCTGTTTAATACCTAAATACCAAAGGACTCTATCCTGTGAATTTTCTCGTATTAAATTATGTAAGAAAAATTGAGCGAAAACTATTAAATTTCTCTTGGAAACAGGACCTTGTTAAATTGACTGTGAATCCTATCAAGATTCTTAAAACCGTTTTCGAGAAGTACATGCTGATACAGGACCCTTTCTTGTGATTTTTCTCTTATTAAATTATGAAAGAAAAATTTAGCGAAAACTATTAAATTTGTCTTGGAAACAGGACCGTCTGAAATTGATTGTGAATCCTATTAAGATCCTTAAAGCCGTTCTCCAGAAGTGCATCCTGATACAGGACCCTTTCCTGTGAATCTTCTCTTATTAAATTATGAAAGAAAAATTGAGCGAAAACTATTAAATTTCTCTTGGAAACAGGACCTTGTTAAATTGACTGTGAACCCTATCAAGATCCTTAAAACCGTTTTCGAGAAGTACATGCTGATACAGGACCCTTTCTTGTGATTTTTCACTTATTAAATTATGAAAGAAAAATTTAGCGAAAACTATTAAATTTGTCTTGGAAACAGGACCGTCTGAAATTGATTGTGAATCCTATTAAGATCCTTAAAGCCGTTCTCCAGAAGTGCATCCTGATACAGGACCCTTTCCTGTGAATCTTCTCTTATTAAATTATGAAAGAAAAATTGAGCGAAAACTATTAAATTTCTCTTGGAAACAGGACCTTGTTAAATTGACTGTGAACCCTATCAAGATCCTTAAAACCGTTTTCGAGAAGTACATGCTGATACAGGACCCTTTCTTGTGATTTTTCACTTATTAAATTATGAAAGAAAAATTTAGCGAAAACTATTAAATTTGTCTTGGAAACAGGACCGTCTGAAATTGATTGTGAATCCTATTAAGATCCTTAAAGCCGTTCTCCAGAAGTGCATCCTGATACAGGACCCTTT